GCCGCCCAGACCCCTTTTCTTTTTTCATCTTTGTTGGACGACTGTTTCTGTCGTCCTTCTCTATTGTCGAACCTCTTCCCGTCCGACTGTTTCATTGTACACAGATCAGTCGCCTGTATATAGGCTTCTGCTTCAATCAAGGCCTCTTGAAGAGTCGCCACCCTTTTTCGAACTAAATCAAATTTGAAGGTAGACCCGTCTTTGAGACCTCTAAAAAAGTCAGTATAAGCTACCTCATCCGGTAACCCTTGAATCTGTAATCTCATCAGGTTGAACCGCCTGATGTAGGAACGAAGCCCCTCCTTTTCACCCTGCTGAATTGTTCCCAAATCAAGGGTCGTTTTCTTCGCAGGGATGTTCATTGCAAAGTTGGAGGCAAATAAGTAAGCAAGCGTCCTGAAACTGTTTACACAACCAGTCGGCAGGTTGCCGAACCATTGCTGTGCAATTCCCTTGAGAGTTGCTGGGAAACACTTGCACCAAGTGGGATCATCCAACCCTTGAAGGTACATCAGGTTGGTGAATGCCATCAGATGGTCTTCCGGGTTAGTAGTGCCATCATAGGCGCCTACTAAAACATTTTTTACTCTGGCCGGCTGAGCGGCTTCAGTAATTTCCTTGGAGAAGGCCGACGGCTGTTCACCAAGTCTAAGCAGCCGTAGCTGCCAGTCCATAGGTTGGACGTTTTTTGCTGCAGGTCCACCAAATGGAGGTGGCTGCATAAAATATTGTTGTTGCGGCACAAATGGCAAATTTGGTACCGCCTGCGCACTATGAAAGCCAGACTGTCGGGAGGTGCCGCCTGACTGACTCTCATGGTACGACTGAGTTGGCCTCATCGAGGCATTTCGCAAACTGTCCTGAAAATTTGAAGTAGAAGCCGACTCTGATAATCGGTCACTCCTCTTCTGCTTTAGCAGGTGCCGAGCATCTGTGAACGTTTGCTTTGACCCGTCCGCCTGAATATGACGAACCGGTTTCCTATTTTCCCGTAGGATAACGGAGTTTTTGTGAAATCAAGAGCAGACGGCTCCCGCTTCTTAGATTTAGGATGGGAGTCGCCTCTCGCCCTTGAACTGGCTTCCTCTTGAGTGAAGTGGAAGGTTTTTTGGCCGCCTGCTCTTTGACTGAAGCAGGCGGTTTTTTGTTGATCAACTCTTGGATCTCTCCCTTGAATCCCCTCATGAAGGTCATGAGTTCGTTTCTTGTGATCGGAGCAGACCCATCAGTCGGCTGTTGCCGAGCAAGCGGTGCGCCTGCTGGCTCACTTCCTGTTTGAAGATACTCCCGTTCCCTTATTTCAGTATGAACGGGTACGGCGGGCCCTTAGGGTCCCGTCTGGAGCTGTATGAGTTTCAACTTCAAATTCACTTTCGGTATCATGGTCCGACTGAACTTGAGGGTCGTCTAGGGGACGCCTCTCTTCTGGGGTCGGTACAGACTTGGATGCCATCTCTGAAGTACTCTCCCACAGACGGCGCCAAATGTTTCGGGGTTTTCTGATGTCCTGCGGGAGAGTTACAATTCCGAGACTGGAACCGGACGCCTGTACCTGCAAAATAACGGAGACTCCTGAGAGCTCCGCCTCCAACGGTCAAGTTAGTACCTGATTAAGGAGTAATTAATACAGAAATTAAAGTAATAAGGTCTCTCTAGGTGAGAGTATTTAATGTAGGTAATCTGCTTTGCTAGCGAGATCAGCCGGTTATTAGTGTGTTCTGTAAATTATTCGGTCCCCCGATTAATGAGGATTAATCGAGTATTTATAGCCTTGGGAAGCGTGCAACTCTCTAGGTTTAAGGTAAACCTAGGGCCGAACGGGCTTCTAGACTGAAATGGGCCTTGATGGCCGGTTGTCCCATTTGGCATGGGTGGACACGTGGCGTGTCTTAAGTGGTCCGTGGAGGACGCGTGGCGGAACCTGGTTGGTCCACTTGTCAAACGGCGCTTGGTGGATAAAAATCCCCTAATCATCTCTCATAACCTCCTACTTACTACCCTTGTTTTAGGGTTTTTTTATGAGTCCTACGGGAGAGTTACAACACCGAGACTGAATCCACGCGCCTGTACCTGCAAAACAACGGAGACTCCCGGGGTGGGAGTTCCGCCTCGGACGATCAAGTTAGAACGTGTTCGGATGTAAAAAAAGTGCGGAATGTAGATGGGATTAGGCTGCTCTGAGGAGAGGAGTGATCATCTGACTGTTTGAGACAGCCTCGAAATCCGAGCCTTAGCTCTTAAGAAGTGCAAATAAAGCTGGAGTTAATGCTTAGAAATTAATGTACATGTGTGTTTAATGATTTTTGAATCTTGTGTTCCCAAGGGGGAACATCTCCCTTTTATAGGGTCTAGAAATGTGTGCCTAGTACTAGGTTTCAGAAACCTAGAACTGACTGGGCTTGACTAGGAATTTGGGTCGTTAAAGGCCACTTTCCTAGTTGGAAATATGTCTGCCACGTGTCGGGGCCTGATTGGTCCACCTTGGACCTTTCACGAGGTAACACGTAGCGGACTCTGGTTGTTCCACATGGATGACACGTGGCAAAGTTCAATTGGTCCACATGGCGGGGGTAAAAATCCCCTAATCATTTGCCCCTCACAGGGGTGACGTGGCTTGCCACGTGGCGCTTGTGACAGATGTCACACTCTGATTGGCCAACGGTTTTTACCGTTTTTTTTTTTACTGTCTCTTGAAATTCACCCCCCTATAAACAGGGAATGTCCAAATCATTTGTTTGGGCGTTCTAGAATTTTCAGACTTTGGACTTTAGCCCTTGACACCTTTTGAGAAAGGACGACGATTGTCGCTTCCTTCCTGGCCGCCTGCTCTTACAATCGCTAGATTTTTCAAGCACCATCAACTTTTCAAATCAAAGGTAACCGCTTGTATTTCTCTTGTACTTTCACTTTGTTTGTTTTCTTTTTTAAAAATGGTATCCCAAAAGCACACGGCACAGCCTAGGTTAGTGATCAGCCGGTCACCGAGGATGGCTGAATCTATAACTAGGAGTCCCAACTGCCCCTTGCTAGACCACCCTTTGCGAACTGCCCCAAGTCCGACTATCTATGTGTCTGCGCAGGACACCATGGCCAGAACTAAAAGAACAACAAGGGTGACAAACTCAGACGGCTCCTCCTTCTATGCGCCTATCATTGAGCTATCTAACATGCGGCCTGGTGCCCCAAGTACCCCCAGTGATTCCGTCATAGAAGAATCATGGGAGGAAGTTCAAAATGACATTCCGAGCTCCATTGATCAAGCCCCTCAGGCGGACGATAGGTCCTACTCCTCAGACAGCGAACCCGAAACAAGCACCTCTCACTAGACGAAAAAGATAAAAAGGCATCGGTTCAAACCCCCCCTTTGGCACCGGTTTTGAACCGTTCGGTATTTGAGGGATGCCAAATCCATGAAAATTTGGCACCGGTTCAAAACCGGTGCCAATTAAAGAATTTGGCACCGGTTAACCGGTGCCAACTATCATGGCGCGATTTTTTTTATTTTCAATACTATTGGCACCGGTGCAAAAAACCCCACTTTAGGCACCGGTTCTTGCTTTGAACCGGTGCCCAAAGTGTCAAAAAAACAATTTTAAAAAAACTTTTGGCACCGATTCTGGTCAAAACCGGTGCCAAAAATACCCCAAAAAAATAAAAATAAATATTTTTTTTCACTTAAATTGATATAGAAACATTAACATATATATAAAGTTACATATTTTCATTAAAAAGGCTGTAATATTACAATTTTCGTCCAGAAAATATCAAACAAGGAACGAAAATATCTAAGACCAGCTCCACACTAGCAGCTGAACAGAGGAACAAGGAACTAGCCAACACACTGCGCCAACCCTCAAGCCCAGCAGGACAGCAGCAGCAGCCAAAAGCAGGCACATAGCACCAGGCAGAGAACTGCACAACAGCAGCCAGAGTAAACAGAGCCAGAAAACAGCAGCAGCTGGCAAAGCAGAGAAGGAACCAGCAGCAGCAATGCACAGACAGAACTAGCAACAGAAACCAGATAGCAGGAGGACCAGAAACTAGCAGTCTAGCCTAAAGTAACACAGCAGCCAGCAGCTCAGAGAAATCCCTGGAGATAAAATGTAACACCAAGCAACAGTTAAAATAGGAGCATTCAAGTATTCAACAGAAGAAACTCCCAGCTAAAAGAATGATATGCATTAAAAAAAGTTCTAAAAATTTAATATGGTGCTAATTCATAGGATAGTATAACTATTCGTATTTGAAAAATATAAAATCACCTTAGAAGGCTGATAATTTAAGGACAAGGTCCTGGTACTCTCAGGTTTCCAGACTACATAATGGATGTTAGTCTCATGCCAGATGAGAGCTTGTTCATTCCCAAAATCTCTGAATTTTTCATGCTCTGAAAGATAAAACCACATATCCTACAACAAACAAAGATCTATATGTCGTGCTCAGAAAGATATAACCATATATCCCAAAAACACAAATATTAAATTAGAAGAAAAACAAAACAATCATAAAATCAATGTTCTTCCATTGCATAACTCACTGCACTGGTCATGAATGTTATAATAAATACGCTTGATGCTCAATAACATAACCAGAAAACACATAACTCTTGTTTTCTACTTAAAATTTCCTTCGTCGGTGATACATTGATATATTGACAACTATGTGTCCATGCTGCAATAATCTTGAAAATCCCAAAACACCCAATTTTAAAAGGATATTAATTTCTTTGCCTAAAAAAAAATACTCATTCCATCAACGCACTCAATAACCTAAGACAAACAAGCACTCAGCCTCGAGAAACCGGACCAATTATAAAAGAGGTTGTCAACAAAATTAAATATCAATGAAAAATAAAGGAACCAAATTTCCATATAACAGAGTTTTCGGAAAAATCTAAAACCCACAAACAGAACAATAGCATGTCCATGGATTAAAATTAGAAACCCGGCGGCGGAAAGCTGGAAAGTAGGAAGCCACTCATGTTCATCATTCTTTTTTATAAAAGAGAAATTAGTAACCTGGCCTTAGAACCCCAATTTAACCCTTCACCCAAGAAAATCATTCTTTTTTATATAAACAGCATACACTTCAAATATTCCAAAATTAAAAACCCAGATGCAATATCATAAAACATATAGAATCAAATTAATTCAAATAAATAAACAAACAAACAACACACATTTAATTCAAATCCAATACTACATAATCAATAACCAAACAGATCAATGGAGCTAAAACATACTTCAATTGATAAAAAAAAAATTAGAAAACCCAGGGCAACAGGAGCTAAAACAGTTAAAATCCCTGATGTTCAAGGTCTGCTTTGGATCGAGGGGTTGGTGTTAGAAACACCTGTTCAACCACTGGTTTAGTCATCAGAGCAGACTTACCAAGTCCCGAATTATCAATTGGGACAGGACGCCATCCAAGGACTGTATGACCAAGTGATTCTGCAACCTAAAAAGACAACACAAAATTCAACAGTCAAATTTCATAATCTAGAACTCCAGTCCAGGGACTGTATGACCAAGTGTTGTTCAAGTGTAATACACTAATAACATTAAACAAACACACAAACTCAAGAATAAAGAGAACAACTGAAAAAGAAGAAAGAAGAAAACCTTGATTGATGGAGCACAACTGAAGAACTCCACAATGAACTCCACAACTGTATTTACTTATGAGGTTATAATGGCTAGCTTGCATATACGGAGTATGAATTTCACTATCCAGGCATACATACAAACTGAATACAGCAAATTGTAAGGAAATTGGGAAATTATGCTAGACTGCTGACAGCTCAAGATACTGTCGAAGTCTGAATCCTGAAAATGCAGCTTCTACTGGCAGTGGTCCCCTAAGAAGGATTCAGAATATGATCTTCAATTCAGACATTCCAAAATGGACAGGATGAGATTAGATATTTCCTTTTACAATTTAGACACAGGAGAAAATCATAGTAACATCACAATTATAGAGCGAGACTAGTAGTTTTGAAGATTTCATTAAACTCTAGAAAATGAAACATACCAGGTCTGGTCTTCGTCTCTGCATTTTCCTTCCTATCCTGGCTGCTTCTTTAGGACTTTTTGCAGACTTAATAGCCTCAAAACACTCTTGTGCCAAAGGATCCTGAACACCATAAAACTTGTGCGCCTGCAGAGGGAATAGACCTAAAACATCCATATTCCATACAATGTATCTACAGAAATAGCTCAACCAAACATACTGAAATAACTCAAACAACAAAAAAACACCAAAAAACTCAAACAACAAAAAACACCAAAAAAAACTCAAAATGAATTATTGGACCAAAAGACCAAAATATAACGCAAATCTAAAAGAACTATCCTACGTTTCCAGGATAGAAGAATGTTAAAACTGCCCTCAATTTATAAATTAGTGACCATCACTACTCATTGTTGTTTAATTTCCGTTGTTTTATCTAGCTATGTAAAACCATTGTCATTTCGAATTGGTTTTGGGACTTCAGATTACTAAATTCTAGTATCACTGGTTTAATGTGGATTATGATATTATTGATAACTCTCATAAATGTGCTTATTAATATGATTTTCACTTGTTACTATGTCTGATCCTTAGTAATGGGAAAATAACACTCTGATTAACTAACCTTTCATTTAAGCTATTTCAACATTAAATCCACATAAAAGCATACAAGTACAAAATTTAACAATTACAAACCAAGACAGGAATTATGAAAACTTTTTTGGTTCTAGTGACTTAACACATAACGCCTAAATTATCATAAAACCATACCACAAAGCATTTGCCTCCTAAACTAATTTTTATCACATCAATTGCTCTACCAAATACTACTCACCTGTTTCTGGAGAATACTCAATGCAAGTTGCTAAATCTTCATGTTTTCCAGTGATGTCATAAACTCCAGAGTGTTGTAGGTCATACCTAAGAAAATCCAGTCGCAGCAAAGCAATAACCATGTTATTCTCAAACATAACATGAAAAGAGGTGTTCGCTTAAATAAATTAATACAAACAAGGGTGAAAATTATGTAGCCAACCGAAAATAAATCAATACACACAAGAATCTAATTATTGATGAGGCACCCTACATTTGAATCAGGGCAAAGCATGGCCTGGATATAGTCTCCAAATATGGCTATGAATAGGTGACAAAATTACATTGCAATAACTCTAAAGAAAATACTTACAAGGCATCAATAGCAAGCATTCTACCAATCTGGTGTCTTGAGTTGCCAGGAATTAAAAGTTGAACATGAGTCACTGGAAAGAACCTAATCAGTCAGCGGAAGCACAAATACAAGTCACCAACTAAACCATAATTAGTTTACACAACGAGAAACTATAAATACATCCAATATTTCTATTAAAAAGCAGAGGAGAATTCATAGAGGAAGGCTCTAGATGAGAGTTGAACCTGTGCATTTCATTACAAAATGTTAGAAAAGAGAGCTTTCCAGAATCGGAAATGATAACCAACATGCCTTTCCCCATAACCTGCAGAAGGAATAAAATATGCATTCAATTACAATGTAAGAAAAGAGATGTAGCCATTATGAGCATTAACATGAGGGTTCCTTACATCATGTAAAACCTGTGAGTTATATTGTCCATATATGTCGAAATATTGATCAGATTACTTTAAGGTCGAGTCAGGTCACTTTTTTACGCATCTAAATTAAAATCCCTGTTATAGTGATAACTGATAAACCCTTAAAAAAAACCTTGACCATAGTCAACTCACAAACCCTTGAGAAAAACAGAGGAATAACACATTTATAATCATAATAAACTAAGGGTGAAACCAAAATGAAGAAAAATCAGCAATAAAAATACTAGTACATTGGCAATTTAATTGTAGTTTATTTTACAAGATCAAAGTAAGGAAATGGAATAAAATAAATACTCTTAATATTAAATAAATAATGTGCAGTAATTTAATTAAATAAGGAATACTTACGAGACGATGATGAAAATTAGTGGGTAAAATGAGAGAGAAACGAGCAAAATGAAAATTATTCCAGTAAATTTCTTCTTCCCATGATTTATAATTCCTAAACTCCATTTTTTGCAGTGAAATCTTGTTGAAGAAAGAGAAATTCCACCCTAATTACAAATGGTTGAAGTTATTAAGAAGATGAAGGAGGTGATAACTGATAAACCCTTAAAATCCGATCAATAGTTAGAATAGGATATCTAGTGTTAAGAAAAAATATCAGAAAAATTACCTGGTGGTCGGTAGCCGACGCACGAAGGACGGCTGAGGGGAACGGAGGGTGGCCGGCGAAGGGTGAGTGGCGGCGGGTAGGACCTACTCTCTCCTTCTCCTACTTATTTTGTTTGACAAAAAATAGAAATAAAACCAAAACCTTAAAATTACAAAATTGAAAACCAAATCAACTACAAACCTTAGGTTGCGAAGAAATTCGGTAGATTAAGAAGACCACAATGGCCCAAATCTTACCTCAAAGTTGCTTCAATGGAGGTGAGAAAACTCATAATGCACTTCAATGGAGAATAGAGAGCACGAGTTCAATGGAGGAGAGATATGGAGAGAGAAGGAGGTGCATGCAGCTGCTTTAATGGAGTGAGAGAGCTCAAAAACGGCTTCAATGGAGAAGGTGGGAATTCGGAGGTGGTGGCATGGAAGAGAAGGTGAGAACGAGGGAAAAAACAAGTTGAAAAATCAGGGGGAAAGAAAAGAAGAAGAAGAAGAAGAAGAAATACGAGAAGCCCGGTTTTTTTTAATGGCACCGGTTTAAGACGAACCGGTGCCAACTCTATTGCTTTCTTTTGTTTTTTTGTTTTTTTTTTTTTTTGGTTGGCATCGGTTTGAACCAGTGCTAATTAGATTAGTTGGCACCGGTTTTGGTTGGAACCGGTGCCAACTCTGAATTTTCCAATCCCTCCCATTTCTTTTGGCACCGGTTTTCAAGAACCGGTGCTAAAGGGGGGTGCCTATATCAAAATTTCTACTAGTGTCTGGAAAGCCATCTGACGCCTCTGAGGAGTTGCGCTCTCGGCTGGAAACAGCGAGAGAGTCCCGTTTTGCGGAGAAGGAGGAGAATTGGGCTGAGTCGGCTGCTGGCAGGCAAAATATGTATGCCGCCTATTATTGCCATGTCCCTAAAGGCAGGCGGAAGGCCATGTCTGAGAAGATAGGTAGCTTTAGGGCCGACCATATCATGGGCCATGGTTATATCCTTTACGTGCCGTATGCCGAGGACACCGTAGTCTGGCCAGAAGGGTCCAGCTACGGGGACGAGTGCTTTGGGTGTTATGAGGCGGCCATTCAGGCTGGCCTTCGATTTCCCTTACATCCGGCCGTACAGCGGATTTTGGATGGATAACAGCTGGGCGTCAGGCAACTTGCCCACAATTCTTGGTTCAACATTCTGGGGTATGTTGCCGGCTGTGAGATGATGAGTATGGATCCAAGCTTTGAGGCTTTTCGCCCATATGCACTATCTCAGCAAAACCCCAAAACAAGCGGTGCCGGCTAGTACACTTTGTCTAGCCACAAGGGTTATATGATGACAATAGGGAAGGAGAACAAGTGGAAAGGCTGGAGGAACAAATTTTACATAGTCTCCTACCCTGACAAAGTAAAGAATAAGATGTACAACAGGTGGAACCGCAATCCACCTCTCCTAACAGGCGCCACTGAAAAGCCGCCAATTCCAAGAAAGGCAAGAGAGGAGATCCTTGACCAGGGTCTCTTCAAAGTGGACATTCAGGCAAATGCTAAACAGGGGCGAGAGAATTCATCCCCCAAAGTTACATTCCTCGTCATGACTGGCTTTTTTACGGGGACTATTTGGCTGCCTGCGGTCTTAGTATTGAGAGGCCGAGAGGTAGTTGGCCGAACGTGTTTACTATTTTTGTTAGACTTAGGTGTGTACTTTCCTTTTTTGTACATTTTGTCTAACCCTTTGAAATCTTTTTGCAGACAAAGTAATGGAAAGACTCCCGGCCACTAGGAAACCTGCCGCCTACTACCGCACCCTTTTGGGCAAGCGGTCTACGGACAAGGTGAATTTCTTTCTAGCTTTGTACAAGTCTTATTTAGCTTTTTTGTCGCCTACTTCTTACTTATTGTGGTTTTTATTGTAGGGCAACTCAGCAAAGCCTTCCTCCTCAAAGCCTATCAGCTATTCAAACCCCTTGCCCTACCCTTGTAGGGTTAAGTTTAATCAGCAGTCGGCCAGCACTTCTGAAAGCAATCGGTCTATTGGCCGCATTTATACCAAGTACTTACAGAGTATTAATTGTGCAAATGTCCCTTAAAGGCCGGATCTTGTACAGCTGGCCAAGTCCATGCTGAAAGCTGTCTCCCTTGAGGACAGGGAGGCGGTTAGAGGAGTCGGCACCCTCAACCTGGACCCATCCTCGCTCTTTTGGCTAAGGTACACTTGTAAAGATTTTCCATTTCTTGTTAATATAACTTGTGAGCCACTTGTAACTGACGTCTGTTTTTTGGCCGAATGCAGTCTATGCTGCGAGTGCACGGTCTCCGCAAGCCCATAAATGAGAAGACCAAAGAGGAAAATTCGCAAAAGCTCGGGCCGCCTCTGTTCTGACACAGCCATGTTCCAGATTGCTCAAAATGAACTTCTGACTACTGACATACTGTATTATCAGGCAGCTGCCAACTTGCAGGTCAAAACGGATTTAGAGGCGACCAAGAAGAGGATCTCCGAGCTGGAGCAGTTTGTCAAGGATCTGAAGGCCAAGCTTGAGCCCCACAAAGAGGCGGACCAGGAAGCAGCTGGCCTCCGAACCCGGGTGGACAAGCTGAAAGCTCGCCTGCAAAACCAGGAAGTCCAATTGGCCAAGAAGTATACTTCAAGGGCTGAGGAGGAAAAGGCGGCCCTGGTCAAGGATATGATGGACGACTGCAACGTCGTCATGAAGCTGACTTGGGGGGCTCTCTTCCTGGAGTCCACCTATGAGGCCTGGCATAATCAGTTCGCCGCCTCCTCTCAAGAGTACAATGAGAAAGTCATGAACCAAGCCCAAGAGGCTAAGGGAGAGGATGAGGAGGAGTCGTCTGATTCTACCTCAGGGGAGTCGGACCAGGGGAGGAGGAGGAGAAGGAGGCGAATCCCATAAAAGAGCAGCAGGCGACTAGGGAACAAAAGGATGCGGCTGCTGATACTAAATAGCCCCCTCCTGCTTCTTAAGCCTTTCTTGTTTTTATTCCAACTTTCTTTGGCCTGCGTGTCGTATGCTCTGTTTGTATCTTTACCGACCAAGGGTCGGATTTATGAACAATTTAACTCTTTTTTTTCGGTCATCTGGCCGACTGTTTTTATATATCGTCCGGCAAATTTTAGCCGGCTTCTTCAATTTGCACTTGTGCAAAAAAATTTCATTTCATAAATTTTGCTAAGAATAAGTAACCTGCTTTTTTCATGAATGCTTATTTCATTATATACCGACTGTTTTTGCCCCTGGGCGACTGTTCGCCTGGTTTTCAAAGGTGAATTGATTAGCTTGGGAATTTTTGATACTTTATGGAGTATAACTAATTTCCAAGTCAATCAATCACAATGGTGAACCAGGCGGTCAGTCGGCCAATGCACAGGCGAACATACTACATTATCCGACTCTTGGCCTTAATATAGTTCTTTAGACGAACCACGTTTACCTACTAAGTTTTGTACTTAGTTTATTTTATTGATTTGTAAATCGTCTGTTTGTTTGGTACTTGTACAAAAATAGGCGTCAAACGGGATGTTTAACCAAAGTAGCAATCGCTTGTTGGGTTACAAGAGGTAGCTTTAATTATTCTCTAACCTAAATAGGAATAGTGGCCGAATGTCGTCTGTTCATCAAAAGGACAGGCGGCTTCATTCGTACCGTTTAGGTTCCATTTTAGGTTATTCAGGTCGAGCGCCTATGAGTTAACCTTTGGGATTAATCAATCTTTGTCACCTTATTTTGAGTAAATAGAAGAAGGAAACGGCCGTTAGCCGCATGTTGTGTCCTCACATGTGCTAAGCTTTGGACTTAGCTTATTACTCAATTAACTGCTAAGTGTGGAACTTAGCTTATATCCTCAAATTTTTCCCACTGTGTTGCCCCTGAGCAACAACAGTCGGCATCCGACTTAGATATTATAGATTACCGCATGTTTTTAGAGCAGTCGGTAGTCTTTGTTGTCTTTGTCTCATTTGATCAGTTCACAGAGCAATGTGCCACCCAAATGGGATATGCTCTCTGCGACGAATTCACCCAAATGGATGTCGCCGAACGCCTGCTCATGTTAGGGACAGACGTATTAGTTTATAAATTAAGAATATCCGCCCATAGGAATCATTTTGATCGTTAGGACATAGGCCTGACTTAGATCATCCGGCCATAAGCCTCATGTGTTCTGAGTGGAACAACACATAGCTGCTAAGTTTGCTAGACTTAACTTACTTCTACTCATGTTGGAGTAGTAGGAAAATAATAAAAAGGTCGTCTGCTTATTAGGCAGGCGTCCCTCCCTTTTGGGAGGATGCGTACAAAAGTATTGAAAACAAATATCAACTTTTTATTGATGTGCTTTCATTTACAAAAAA